CCAGGCGTCATGCATCAGCAGGGATGCAAATTTGCCTTAGGCGAGTACGTTCGAGGATGCCCGTGCTCAGTCCGTACCCGCTAGAGACTCTTCTCGTGACATCATGATACGGGATGAGTCTCCTCTCGACCCATTTATCACCTCATGGACGAGCCCCCTCCGATGGATGAATCCCGTCGATGAAAAGGAGTGAGGGCAGAGCTTGGGAAGCGCCGTTACCACTGATACTGGAAGAGTAGAGCTAGTGGCGTCAGGACGGCAGCATCTTGCCTAAAGTCTGGGCACGGTGTGCCATTTTTTATTGCAGACGCCAATTTGGCGGGGAGGTTCTCTTAGGGCTGAAGGGGATACATCAAGGCGGGGGGATCTGTACGATCCGCAATGAGGGTGGTGCATCGTCCACCGTCGGAGGAGGCGGAGTTGAGCATGGTTGAGAATGACGGGGCTCAGGTTCGGATGTCGATCCAAGACGTATGTCCGAGCTTACCTTGGCGCGTCATAACTCGTGTAGAAGTAGGTCGGAAGGTTTCCTGACCGACACATAGTCGTTCCTGTGGATTACGGCTTATGATCGAACCATGAGCAGGCAAGAATCTGTAAAGTGCTTTTCGAAGAGCGCGGCGCTTAAGCCGATGACGATGTAGAGCTTTCGCAGAGTAAATTTTCCGTTATGGCCCTGCGGGTAAGTGCTTTTCTCTTTTTTTTTTCTTTTTGTTTTTGGGATTCAGTTTGTGTACTTAAACCTATCTATTGATATATTGGTTTAGACTTTGCTATTAGACCCTCATCATGAGATGAGCGGATCGAGGGAATAGGCGGGAGGAATGCCCATTTTGGGAAATGGGCAACAAATATTAAGAGACCTACCAAACATCGCCGCAATTGGCCGATCTTTTCACCCAGGACAGTAATTTTTCAACTGTTCTCGTGACGGCTCAAGCAGAAGGAGAACAATTTGGCGCAAAGGGGATCGAGGAGATGAAAGAGCGGATGCAGGACCTGATGAAGGCCATTGCCCGAAATTGCAGCCGAAACTTGAAGGTGGCCTCTTAAGCCAAGGAAGATGAACTCAGAGATGAGTAAGGGAGGTGTGCGCTGAAAACGCCGACCATTCAAAGTATAGCAGGTGGCCAACATTAACTGTCGAGCTAGTTATACGACAAGAGGATGGTGGAAGCTGGTCGACCTTAGGGGCGAAGCCAAAGCTCTAAGGCTGATAATTGGAATTGGCTCGTGCTAAGAGGGCGATTAGCGCGACTGCCTTCTCTGAGTAAAGGGTAATGGCTTTGGAAGATGCCCTTCGTGTTTGTGGATCAGAACGGGATAAGGAGGTGGAGGCGTCTGCGCTTTAACGTAGTGAAATTTGTAGAGACGCTATCCAAGAATTGGAGGCGGATTGTCCGTGTTTTTTAAACGAACAAATTCTCTCTCTT